TATCAACAAAAAGAAGCATTGAGGTCTTCCCGCGTGTAACAAAGATCATAGTTCGGGAAGAAGGAGGCGGTAACCGGCGGACATTCAAAGAAACTTTAATAAAATAAACAACCACAAAATAGCGTGACAGCCCCTTGCGGACGACTGTCACGCACAAACGAAGCCAAAACACAAAATAAACATTAGCAATTACTCCACCGGCCTCTCTCTGTTCCTACGGCTCTCGGCCCTGCCCCTCTCGTCACATACCCCCATCGCCCCTCACAGGCCGGGGGGTACCCACAAGACTGCGCTCTACTCCATCCCCCCCCCCTTCCGAGGGAGCCGATCACGGCAGCCGCAGCGTACCTGGGGGTAAGGACAGACAGACGAGGCGAGAGAAAAGGAGATAGAAGGATGAGGAGAGACAGAGCAGAGAGAGAGGGAAAAAAAAAATCTTGTTCCGGTTCCCAGACACACTGCCGCTCGGCCCTCCACCAGCTGGGTAAACTCTTCCGCGATGCCTGGCGGTGGCGCTGGATAGCCCTCGGTGGGCGGCTCGACACTCCTCCACCGCCCGGTGGATGGCGACGGCTCCTCCGGGTTCGGGCAGCCGGCAGGTGTCCCCCGTTCCCTGCTCCTCCCCATCATGACGGATGGCAGCAGGCTCCGGCGGCAACTCCTCCGCTCCCTGCTGTGTCTATGCTAATAGGGCAGAGATTGTCACAAATGGGCAGGATTTTTTCCCCTACGACGACGTCGTCATAGGGAGAAATCTGGAATCACGTTTTCAGAGAGACTGTTTATGATTTATTGAGATTATAAAAAAATGAGTGGGTGGATTTTTACCACTATAGGCTGGTTGTTTTCACACACTGTGGCCACACAACTGTGTTCAAATACCTTATAAAAGTGATTTTTGCACAATAGGTCCCCTTTAAAATACATATTGACTTCATACTGTCTTAATAAACTGCTTGTCCCTCCTTCTCCAGAAGAAAAAGGCATATTCAGTCATATAAATATCATGCCTACTGGATCACTGTCTAATATCCAGCTAATTTTGCAATGCAGAAGTACACTATTTTCAATGGAAGCATGTTTCTGACTTTTTATCTGACAATTCAGACTTGTTTTTGCAAATCTGAAAATAAAGTCAAAATTGCGAGATATAAAAACCGATATAAACTCACAATTCTGATTCCCCCCCCCCTCTGAATTATGAGATTAAATCTCGCAATTCTGACTTTTTTCTGAATTCTGAGTCTAGAGGTTGGAATCTTTTGGAACCTCGAGATTAGATTTATATTGATTCTTGAGGTCACGATTCGATTAAAAATTGATTCACGATTTTAAATCAAATTTTGTTTCGTTTAGTTCATAGATTTTATTCTAGTTTACTTTTCCTATTAGACAGTTTAATAGGTCTTGAAGAAAACAAATTACACTGAATTAAATGTAAACCTTTTTTTTTTTTTTTTGTCAACCCAGTATTATAAAACCAATGCCATTTAAGCTGACTGCAGTCAGGACCAGCAGCTGTCTGTAGTAAAGCAAGGCAGCACTGAGACAAATAGAAAAACCACGTAGTACATAAAAAAGAACCAAGGTTTTACTGTTGTAAAAGTGTAGTAAGCATGTTTTTTTGGCGTATTGATTACAATTTTTATAATCACAGTTTTACTACAAACACCATGGCTAAACTATGGTTAATTTGTGGTTACCATGGTTTAACTATAGTAACCATGTTTTTTTGGTTTTATTTGTGGTAAAACCATGGTTAATTTTCGTAAAGGATAATATTCCTTGATACAAAAATAAAAAAGTTTGCAAACATAAAACTGGTAAATAAAATAAACAATAGGACAAATACAATAGACAAAATCTTCAAATTAAATAAGAAAAGTTTTTCATGTACATTAGCCTAAGATTAATCTGTCTTAAGAAATACTACAGAAACTGAATAATCAAATATAAAAATAAAATACAGTATAGTCTGCACTGTATTAACTACATATAAACTGATTCATAATAGAAATACAAAAGTGATTCAGGGTTGTTTTTTGTTGTTGTTTTTTAGGATTAACATTAGTGTAATAGGCGGCGACAGTTTATTAGTCGGCTGTCACTTTAAGAACAAATCCACGGATTTAATATAATGTTACACATCCGATTTGCTTCCAACTGTTTATGTTCACGTATGACATAACAGCAGTCTGTTATGTCATACGTGAACATAAACAGTTTGAAGCAAATCGGATGTGTAATATTATATTATATTAAATATTAAATCTGTATGACATCCGTGTTTATGCGAAGACATGAGTGTGTTTGAATTTGACTTAAGTGCAATAAGCGGTGAAAGAGAACTGAATTCAGGATTGCATGCATCTGAGCAGTGGGGAACCGTCAGGGCCCTCAGAGAGGCCCTAACTTATTGGAAAAACAATATTTACAATTTTTAAATGTTTTAAAATATAATATTTTTAATAAAAAAATTATTATTACTAATTTTATTGAAGCAATTCATAATTTGACAAACATCAGCTAAATAAAGTAAATACAACTTCTGTGAAAAAAAGAAAAGAAAAAAAAAACCTCTTCAAATCTGCGTATTCAGTGAATAGACTTATGAACACCACCCATTTTCTTCATATTTGAATGTTTCCGCCTAGCTTTTGCGGCTCTGTGATTGGTGGTCCAGCTATGAAATTACAGAGGGCCAAGCAATAGTAAATCAATGAGGGAGTAATTTCGAATGACAGAAAAATTTACCAATCATATCTTTCCTCTAAATGGACGGGCCTTGTTATCACTAACTTTATGACAATTTCCGCCCGCTGTGGGATCTCTATTGAAAAATATATATATAAGCTGATAAACTAACTAGCTATTATTCACGTCACAATGGAAGCCGCAAATAACATAAGTGAGGACATTTACTAGGCCGCTGAGCCTGCAATAATATTATTTATTATAAGCACTGCTTGTTTGTTATGAAGAGTCTGTCGCTAATTTGTTTTGTGTCAGAGCTGTCATGATGTGTTGTCTTAAACACATTACATTTGTTGGTTTTGTGTGATGGGAGGGAATGTCTGTACGTTTTGCCCGCTGAAGTGCAGATATTGTGTGATGATGCATTTGTAATGAGGATTTGCATTTGACTTAAATTTTGCTGTTTTAGTTTGGTAATATCAGTCACTCTCGCTGTGCTGTTTTGTTGCGGTCGCACATCAGACGAGAAGCACAGTGGTGCCCCGGTGCAACACGTATCACACACCGTTCAGTTCAAGACGGCAGTCCAAAACATTTAATCTATTCCCCAAATAGTCAAAACGTAACTTCAAGAATGAGCAAGGGGTGTTAATGAGTTTAAAGTTCGGGGATTGTAAAAACAGCAAACGGGATGAGAAACTCCTATTTCCTTATTTTAATTCTAAATTTCCTATTGCTTGTTTCACTTCTGTTTCGGTTTTTGTGACCATTTCTTGCTATGTGTAACAGTTAAGTGGGTTGTTGTTTTTTGGCATGTAGGTTTGGCAGTGTTGTTTTTTGGGATTACTGATGGACTACTGTCATTTGATTTGTATTATTTGTATTTATTTATTTTGATTTTACTTACATTATGTCTGAATTTATTATGTCTGTATATGTATTTTATTGGGTTTTTAGTTTTATTTGATTTGAGTTGTTTTAGTGCTTCGGCAGGCTGGATGGAAATGAAATAATATATATATTGCATTTATGGATGTGTAGGTACATGTACAGTGTGTGTGTGTGTCGTTGTACATACACATATGTAGTTTTTTTTTTGGTGTTTGGCTTGATGTTATGTTGGAGTCATTGTTGTGCTCGTATACCTTTTGTTCTTTGGTATTTTGAATTGTTTTTGGCTTTATTTTTTGCTTTTCATTTAAATGTTAAGTTTTGGAGTTTTGTTGTATGCATTTGTCATTTTTATTTAATCTCTTTATTTTTAAAATGTGTATAGGTAGTATTTATAAAGTTTTGGATCTGTTTTTAGTTGTTTGAATACTACAATTGATTGCTTCTGTTTTCCTCATTTGTAAGTATTTAATGATAAAAGCGTCAGCTAAATAACTAAATAAATAAATTGCGATCTATAGCACAATGAATCACATCATTTATTAGAGCAACAAAAAGACAAACGTTTTGCTGAAAAATGCACAATACACAATCTTCCAACCTAGGATGAAATCATTATGTACATTAACAATAATTTGGGACAAATATAATGTAATTTAATGGAAAATGATGTGAGTGGCGCTGAGGCATTTTGTGGCACGGCAGGATTATGAACAGCGCCTGGATCGTCGGGATCCGTGGACAGTTGGTGGTGGCGCCACCGGTGTGCATACAGTCATGGAAAACAATATGTGGGAATTTTAAAGACGCGGCGCGGTGCAGGGCTGCAAATGACGTCCGGTGTGCGATTGCCTTAAGGCTGGATAGCCTCTTGTTTCAGAGGTGGAATTGTCAAAGATTACTTTTAGAAGAGGACACCGTAACCTAGGCTGGTATTTTTTCCCCCGACGAGGGTAGGGGGAGAGGGACTAGGCTCAAGAGTCACAGTTCGCTACTGCATCTGAGAGGCGAAATGTGCTCACGCTTTGGCTGTGTGTCCGTTAGAGTGAACACTGCATTGAGTCCTTTTTCTCGGCTTACTGTCAAATTACTCTTAATGTGCCAATAACTAGTACAGTGAAGTTAAAGAAATTTAACACTTTAGAAAATCGATTTAGATGTTATAATCATTATACATATGTCAATCCATTTTTCCCGCACCCTTAATCGAGTCTCAAACCGGGCTGACAGAATCCCACCAGAATTAAGTGAAAATTAGACAAAAAATGCAACTCTCTAACTCTTCCCACCAAGTTTTTCCCTGAAGAGATTTGAGTCTTTACGTTTGCCCATTTTATATAAAAATGTCAGTGTGTTCAATATGTACACCTAGAGAGGCGAGTGCATCATGCAACTGAAAACAGAGTCTGGACGATTTACAACTCATCCTTTTTGTCTTCATCCTCTGATGGCGGGCCACCCGCACTGCCGTACATCTTGCTTACGATGGGGTGCACGATGTCCTCCAGCTCCTTCTTCTTGGCCTGGAAGTCCTCGAGATCTGCGTCCTGGTGAGACTCCAGCCACTCGATCTTCTCCTCGATGGCCTTCTCGATGGCCTCCTTGTCATCGGACGACAGCTTGACGCCCAGCTTCTCTTTGTCCCTAATCTGGTTCTTCAGGAAGTAGGAGCAGCTCTCCAGCTCGTTGAGGGCGTCGATGCGCTCCTTCAGCTTCTTGTCTTCATCAGCGAAGCGTTCTGCCTCATTCACCATGCGCTCAATGTCCTCGGGCGTCAGCCGGTTCTGGTCATTGGTGATGGTGATCTTGTTCTTGTTGCCTGTGCCCTTGTCCTCTGCGGTAATGCGCAGAATGCTGTTGACATCGATCTCGAAGGTGACCTCGATCTGAGGGACGCTGCGTGGAGCCGGAGGGATGCCGGTCAGGTCAAAGTTGCCCAGGAGGTGGTTCAAAACATCATGTGAATGTGTGAGTGCGTGTGTTTATGTGTTAGACTAGTTTATATGTCCTAGATTTATCTAATAAAGCCTTATTTATATTGAAAAGAGAAGTATCTTGTGTTTTGTGCTTACAGGTTAATGCCGATCTTGTTACTGTGCTAATAAATAGTGTTTTCACTATACTTTGGATATTAATATCCATTGCAGAATTGATGTTATACGTCTCGTTCAATGAATCGCTGGCCGACTCCGTGATCAGCCGTAAAACCGTGATTCTGTCCAAATTCCCTATAAAATCTTAAATGATTCCCTTTCAGCTAAATTGACCTGTTTCCCTTACATTTATTGGTGGAGAATGCGGGCAGTTTAATCTAAATTGTGAGCATAAACCAAGTTATTTAATCTTTTCTATTGCTGCGGATGAAAGATGAGAAGCTTCTGTCAAGACTAGTGTGTGTGACGTAAGCAGTGCGCGGCTGCTTGAATGAATGAATGCAGAGAAGGCTGTAACTCGAGTCTGCCTCTCCATTGTTAAACTGCAGTAAGTGAACTTCAAGTTAACATCTGAGATTGTACAATAAGGTAGAAATTGAGCGTGTTCCTCAATTTTCTGTAATGCCTTGTTTATAGCTGAATTGATGTCATTGCGTGCTCCAGTGTCATTCAATAGCTATACTCCCAACAGGGAATCTCAGTTACCGTTAGCTGAACGGAGCTAAACTGCAGTAATTAAAGGGAAATAAATCGGTGAATAAAGAAGTTTTGAGCGTGTTCCTCAATCTATTTATCAAAGCCTTATTCATAGCTTGATTGTCAGTGCGTGTTCCATTGCCTAATCAACTATGCTATTTGACTCCCTGGGTTAAACATTAGAGAATAATGCTTGCCTGTTGGTGTCTGTTCACAAAGTGAATTTAATCTCGCTTAACACTGCGTGTGTCCGAGCATGATTTGAATGGGAGTGTTTTAAAAGCTTGATCAAGTAAATTTTAACTTTGTACCACCAGCGAAGAAAACCTGTTGTGTTTAGGTGACCAGAGATACTGGCACGGAGATTTCAGATCCGCTGAGATCGCTATCACTGTTTCCCTCAACTGCAGCGCGAAGCTGCTATTTGAATAAAATTAAATTGAACTCTGAACAAACTGAGAGTTTAAGCGCCACACCTCAAAACCATCTAAAATGGTGTTTGTTATTTGTACAGTGTTGAAATGCGCCGACATTTCATGTTGCATGCTTAACAGTACTCGCAATGTAACAATTCACGTGCTTGTCCCCTAGAGTTTGTTTTGGTTGCCATAGTTACTATCGTGTTACTATCGTGACACAGAAGTCTTAATCTACGTCCGGAGCAACTCTGAACTGCGCACGCGAAGCACATCGACGCTATTGTAAACAAACTACACGGTGTTGCTAAGCTAACGAAACGGTTGTGTTTACATTGAAGTATATGCTAAAGCCATTAGCCTCAAAGGTTAGCAGTTAGCATTAACATCCAGTGGTTGAATAGAGCGTCTGTATGGGCAACACCAAAGTGATTTAACCCTTTAAACATCTCAAATAATGCACTTGTTGGTCTCTTTCTCTCTCTTATTTCTCCCTTTTCTCAGTTCTTACCACTTATTTGCATTTTACTAGAAAGGGAAATGCTGATTCACAATTATTAATTGTGCCAAATTCTAATTTAATTAAAACAATTAATTTATTTGGAATCATTCACATTTTTCCCTCAGATCATTTCATATGATCATTACTTCTAGTATTCCCTCTCATGCCTAATCATTTTAGGTACGAATAAGCCTTGAACTGAGAAAGTTTAAGTAAACTTATTCTACCTAACTGATCTGTTACCCCTATCAATATATTCTATTCAGACTTATACTTATTTTATTGCGTTTTACCACTCTTTCTTCCTGTTTTGGTTACACACTTAGTCACTATTGTTTAACTTATTGATTTCCTTCTTTATTTAATTAAATTTTTTCTTATTTTGTCCATTTATTACGTTTTAATTTTACTTTGTCTTACCATTCTCTTTCCTCTGTGTATCCTAGCTTGGGAACGACACACCTGAGCCCTTAATAGGAGACATTGTTATCCCTCACTACTTTGTTCAAATAAATTAGAAAGACGACTCTCTTTCACTTAAAATTTATTTTTGTTTGATTAGTTGTCCTGCACCCTTAATCAAGTCTCAAACCGCGCTGACAGAATCCCACCAGAATTAAGTGAATATTAGACAAAAAATGCAACTCTCTAATTCTACCCACCAAGTTTTTCCCTGAGGAAATTTGAGTCTTTACGTTTGCCCGTCTTGTATAAAAATGTCAGTGTGTTCAATATGTACACCTAGAGAGGCGAGGGCATCATGCGACTGAAAACTGAGTCTGGACGATTTACAACTCATCCTTTTCGTCTTCATCCTCTGATGGCGGCCCGCCTGCGCTGCCGTACATCTTGCTTACAATGGGGTGCACGATTTCCTCCAGCTCCTTCTTCTTGGCCTGGAAGTCCTCGAGATCTGCATCCTGGTGAGACTCCAGCCACTCGATCTTCTCCTCGATGGCCTTCTTGATGGCCTCCTTGTCATCAGACGACAGTTTGCCACCCAGCTTCTCTTTGTCCCTAATCTGGTTCTTCAGGGAGTAGGAGTAGCTCTCTAGCTCGTTGAGGGCGTCGATGCGCTCCTTCAGCTTCTTGTCCTCATCAGCGAAGCGTTTGGCCTTGTTCACCATGCGTTCGATGTCCTCGGGCGTCAGCCGGTTCTGGTCATTGGTGATGGTGATCTTGTTCTTGTTGCCCGTGCCCATGTCCTCTGCGGTGATGCGCAGAATGCTGTTGACGTCGATCTCGAAGGTGACCTTGATCTGAGGGATGCCGCGGGGAGCCGGAGGGATGCCGGTCAGGTCAAAGTTGCCCAGGAGGTGGTTATCCTTGGTCAGCGGACGCTCACCTGGAAAGATTGAGGGAAAGAGTGAGAACAGATTCTACTCTGAAGATTAAAGGCACAATATGCAAGTTTTCGCCGCTAGAGGTAACATTTTCAAAACAGTAAGAAAGGCGAAGCTTGATAACACTATAAAGGAGAGTGGAATGATGGGAGATGTCATATTCATCATCCAGAGATGTATGCAGAGCCATTGAGAAACAGAGCTACGACACTCCCATAGGCTTCCATAAGAACTGAGGAATATGGAAGTAAAGTGTGTCACTGCATTTTTTGACATTTTAATGCATTAATTGAAATATTGGAAATCTGGACAGTAGTGGTATTTTATGGTAAGAAAGGCGAAGCTTGATAACACTATAAAGGAGAGTGGAATGATGGGAGATGTCATATTCATCATCCAGAGATGTATGCAGAGCCGTTGAGAAACAGAGCTACGACACTCCCATAGGCTTCCATAAGAACTGAGGAATATGGAAGTAAAGTGTGTCACTGCATTTTTTGACATTTTAATGCATTAATTGAAATATTGGAAATCTGGACAGTAGTGGTATTTTATGAAGCGCGTTATAGTTAATGTTTCTCGTTAGATAATAGACAGTTATACTATAATTGCAGTTAGATGACGTTAGAAACACCTTAATAATGACCATAACCAGATGCTAATTATCATATTTTTAAGCTTTTAGTCTTTCAGAAATCTTTCTCTGTAGGAGGTTGAATGAAGACTTTCATTGAAAGAACTTTCAATGAAGACTTTTCATTCAAGGAATGCAAAAAAGAGTTTCGCTGAATGATATAATAAAATAACACTGGGATGTGAGTAATTAACCTTAAAAGCAAACAATTATGACCGGCAAAACACTTGAGCAACTAGAGTAGAGCTAAATACATGTAGGCATAGGCGGAAATCCCGGGGGGAACCCCCTTATCTGAGGGTCCCCTCCCCTCCCCCCCTAAAAATTATTAAAAACCACGCTGTGTATTGTAAATAAGAATGTTTTATACTTTGTAAGTAATAAAACAACACAAACGAGGCAAAAATGCATTTTAAGTTTAGAAACATTCTGAGTCTCCCCCTCCCTTGCCTCACAGTGATTTGGTCCAGATGCCTACTTTCCTCTTTTATATCACCTCAGTGTTGCCAAGTCCGTGGTTTTACCGTGGAATTGTGCTACTTTAACACTGTTGCCGCAGGTGAGCGAGAACAAAAGTCAATTGTTGTGGAACTCGGCTGTCAAGGCTATTTTATTCACTTTGTAAGGAAATTAACTCTTTTGAGAGGGGAATCGAATCTGAAGATTCAAAATCAACCTGATTAGAACTGATTCCAAATTTGATAGTTTCAGTGGTGGAAAGAGTACTGAAAAAATATACTCAAGTAAAAGTACCATTACCTTCCAAAAAATTTAGTGTGAGTAGAGTAAAAGTACTTGTCCAAAAAACGACTTGAGTAAGAGTAAAAGAGTAGCCTATTTAAAAGTACGCATGAGTATTGAGTAGTGAGTACTGAGCTGTGGATTCTACCCCCTCAGAATAAACACTGTACACCGCAATTGATACCTTTTAAAAACATTGTACATTCTGTAATTAACATTATCTTATTTGTCATAAAGAATGAAGAATATCTATCATCCAGCAGTTTTAATTTTGACTGCCAACTCTTTAAATACATCAAAACAGCACGGAAACAGTATTCAGTTAAAGAAAAGATTTAAGTTATTCTCAGTACAATCATCCCCATTGAAATCAAAGTTTGAAAAAATGTATTTAAAATCATGTGTCAGGCCACTGAAACAGCATGCTGTTGTTGCACATAAAATATTAATGTTTTTAAAACAGTGCAAATAAAAACAACAATAAAAACACAGTTCTCAGTATCACACACCATGATATGGGTTCAAATGAGAGCCCATTTCTCTCCAAAACGGTGCCAATTTTAGCGTTTTGCAATAAAGAAATAAAAATAACTAAACTTGATAATTTATGTTACAATTTTAACATAAATGCACATTGTTCTAGAAGGATGGCAAATTGTTATGCTGATAATACAATT